ATTCTGAAGTTAAAAGTTAGGGATGTAGCAGGTAATCACAGCAATTAATCTTTTTTGATCAGATTCCCATTTTGCTAGTGTGATATACTGTTTTCAAGTTCTATCATAATATTATCATTGTCATAGGATGCAAAGCAAAGAGAGATTCCAGAGCACTCTCCCAGAATTGTAATCCTAGCTCTCTCTGTCAGGTAGCCTCCCTCTGCCTCAGTTTGCCCCCATTAGTATTAGGAGAACAGTGTATTCATAGAGTTGAATGAAGATTAATCCAGTTAAAACTGTGGAACAAGAAGGAAAACATTTTAAACTATCCCTGCCATTTAAAAAAATCATAATGCTATATTACATAGTGTCTGCATTGTTGGGAACTATTAATGACTAGTTACAAATGTGGAAACTGATGGTCAGTAGAATGAATGTGAGACAAATTGGGGTGCACATATCTTTACCTGGGATTCTAGGCAAGTGCTAAACACTGTTGGAAGCATGTTAAATAGTGTTGAGAATATGGATGTTAAAGTATTTACATATTATTAACATTTCTCTTGATATTTATTTTCCTATAAATAAGCAAAATGTTGAGAGATGGGGCAATATGACTCTCTAGTCAACAGTTGCTGGACTTTTTCCTGATGTTTTTTCCAGCATTCCATCACCCTGTGCCAGTAGCAGATGTTTGAATGTTTCACAAATGCCTTGATGAAGCTACCTGACAACTGCAGCTGCTTGCTGCAAACACAGCTGCTTCTAGCAGCTTGCACTAAATTTTCCCTCAAACGTTTTCATCCATGCCCAAGGGATGCATTTCATCCAAGCCCTAATAGAGGGGCTTTACAACCTGGACAATGTCATGATTGGTGTAAAAACAGTACTTTATAATCAGGTCTGCTGTGATCGGTGCAAATATCCCTTGGTTGGATAATCAGGTTGCTCCTTCATTTTGTGATCCTGCTAGGAGAATTCTTCCTGTGCTGTCTCCCTTGGTATGGCAATATTAGGCTCAATGTAAGGTCTCCCTTAAGTGACCATATCTTCTCAATTTTGATGTCTATTATTAGCTGCATTGGTTGAGCTGATATCATGAAAAAGAAGAGGTAACGGTGGTGACAAAGGAACAGCCACAGACACTAAAGCAATTGGCAGTTTGTCTACTGTAGAGGTGGAGCCAGATAGTGTGCAGCTTTGATCGCTGCAGAAGGGCTGAGATGCAGGAGCTGAAAGCAGCTTTATCTTGCAGGAGGGTGCTTGCACCACAGTAGACGCAGCAGAGACAGCAGGAGGAGCCAACTGCAGCAGTAGTAGAAACAGTAGCTAGAGTATACACAAAAAGACTAAGAGCCTTAGGTGAACTATAACCCTAACTGTTATGGAGGGCCACAGAATCCTAACCTCCCAAGGCTCCACACAAGCTGGAGCAGTCATTATTGTAGGACTAAAGAAACCTTCCCACCCTCACCCCTATTCCATACCTAGGGCATGGCCTCTTACAGGTCTTCCCAGCTGCCTGCTGCTGCTCACTGCTACCAAGCTGGAGGGTGCAAAGACTGTCAAAGATCAGCAAGAGAAGAGCATCCCTGCATCACGCACCTGTCTAGGCAGAGCAATTGGACCTGCTGATTCTAAAAGAGCAGCTTGGGAAAGCCCACAGTTAACACTCAAACTTGGTGCTCACTGGGTCTCCTTCATCTACTGTGACAGGAAACAAAGCAAGCAACAGTGAGAGTTTACACAGCACCTTTTTTTTCCTCCTAGCTCTTTCATATCAGTGTGTACTCTGAGTGGCCAAAACAATCTTGAGCAAAAAGACAAAATTAGAGATATCAAATCCCCGTATTACTTAGATATTACAATCAAAGCTGCTGGTATAAGCATGAAAAATGTCACACTGACTAATATAACACAAAGGCAAGCCCAGAAATAATACAGTCCTTCAAAAATTATTATAATAGAGAATAAAAATGATTTAAAAAATAACTATACAGAGAAAATGACAATGGCAATGGCAATTATTTGAAATGCTAAAGTATTTTGTTCCTTTTGATTTTTCTTTACATATGTTTAATTTTTTGGCTGTTAGTAAGGGACCATATATCTCCTGATGATTTTCTTGTTGGCTTCTTAAATGGATTTTTTTTTCATGAAGCATAGGTTAAAATGAGTGGGCAGAGTAAGTCTGTTGTGTACATAACCTGAGAAAATCAATATTTTCCTTAAAATTTAAATCTTCATGTTAATTCCCTCACTAATTACTCAGCACCATTTTCCTCCTGGCTAATGGAAGCCTTCCTGGTGTGAATGAGAAATAGCTGCTAATGAATTACTTATCTTCTGGTTGGTATGCAATGGAGTCTCTGATCTAGGCCTCCAATAGTTTAATAGAAAAATCACTTGAGGGAAAAGCGCTTTTTAAAAACTATTCAGAAGCTAAGGACTAGAAAAATAAAAATAGTTCATTTTCGTAATGTGATCTGTGCTAGATGGTGGGAAGCACACAGCAAGTTTTTATCCACAAGTAAAAATTCCAGTGGCACCGAGATTAACCAATTTACAGGAAAAGGAGAGTCAGAAATGGAGTTGGAAACACATAGAAGCTCAGTACTAAAAAATAAAATAAAACAAAATCACTAAGAAAAACTCAAATTCAAGGAGTGAGAGAAAGTAGAAAAGCAAAAAACTTTCTCAATGGTTTCTCTTAAAAGTTGATATCGGAAGCTGTCGGGTTTCTCCTGTTAGAAGGACAAATAAAATAAACTTAAAACCCTGAAAGTCTTGATCAGAAAAAAAATCATTTAAACAAATAGATCTAATGGAAAAGTTTTGCCTAAGTCAGCAAAGGTAAGCTAACTTTGTTAGTTAATAGTTCTTGTGTGAAAATCAATATACACTACCATTTAACTAAAAAGTTCTTATTGTGAGGAACATGAGGATTTTACTCTGCCTGGGTTTTCCAATTTGGGTTTTCTTTTTATTTTGAAGGCAATAAATTAGCAGTTTTAGCAGAAACCATTTTGCTATTTTATGAAAACACAATTTTACAGATATTCCAAAACAGCTAACATGCATTCTGACGACTAATTATGCATGCCTAAATAAATGAGTCTGTTAGCACCCTCAGTACTTAACCCAACAACACCATCCTCATTATGTCAGTTTGCCACAGTGTTAGCCCAGGAGGAAATTACACACCAGATTGTTGGCCATGCAAATTTGAACCAATGAAAAAATATCAAATATTAAAAATTCTAAAGTTTACTCACTTTGATGGGCCCATCTTTACAAGAAAAACATTAAATTTGTGTACATCTTCAGAAAGAGTCATACCAGTAGAAGGATAGAGCATCTGGGGTTCTTCTGTAAGAGCAGTGAGTAAGGAAATCAAGTCTGTTTATCAGGCAGTAATTGTGTAACCAAGGGAGTAGAATCTATGGCCCTCATGTTATTTAGACATATGTCAAATGACACCAAGTTCTCACTCCTGATACCATTATGTTTATTTATTTGATATGAAATGGGATGATTTTACTGGACAATATCTCTTCATGCACACAGAATTCCCGTTGAAGTGAAGAGCCCTTCTGTTTACCATTGAAGTTTATCATCATTCTGCTTATTATAATAGAGTCGATGGGAGCTCTGTGCATCCAGGAAGGAGGCAGCCAGCAAAATCAAGCCCTAAATATTAAAATCTGGAGAAAAGCCAAAGATAAACTGCCATGAAAATGGAATTACTGTCTTGCCTTTGCAGCTGGTCTCTTCAAATAGAATGGGAGACTTCCAGAAGATGCATCGCAATAAATAAATAAATAAATAAATAAATAAATAAATAAATAAATAAATAAAGGTACCACTGGGCAAGCAGAGGATGGAGCTGTATACCTGTCAGTCTGCTGCTGGGGCCAGAGGGCCAATTTTATCAACCATTTATAAAATTATTTAATGTATGGGAAAAATAAAGAAATAAAGTGAGCTAAAGTTATGGGACTAAAAATGTGCATCTTGTGAAAAAAAGGGTAAGTTCAGTAATGCAAAAGGAAATGGGCTAGAGAGAAGATCTTACCCACATTACATCACGAGGTTCCTTCAACCCACCCACACCCACCACAAACACTCGTTTTCTGAAGGGCAAGATTGTCTCAAGGTCTTATCGGTACTAACTGCATTATCAAGGTATAGAGAATACAATCAGATCTCTACCCTTCATAATGTAGATGTTGTCTTTTTAAGGCAAGCTTGATTATATTCTGAATAGGTCAGTCTGTGTGCCTGACATTTCTCTTCAGTTTCCTGTGACCTTTTAATAAGAATGACTTGGTTTTGCACTGCAGAAAATGGAACTGTCCCTTTTCAATCAGTGACTATGAAGAGCACAGTTTGAACATATCTCATTTTCTGTAGCAATTTATTATACACACAACAACAAAGTCAATGGAACTCTTCCTCGAAAAACATGGGTCCTATTTGGCTTTAATTTTAACTCATTCTGCTGCTCACTCACCTACATTTTGTAAATATTTAACCAAATGTGTAGTCACATTTGCTCAGGAAAAGTAACAAATTAATATAGTATCTGGAAGCAAATCTGACTTTTATAATGTATGCTTAAACAGATGTCATCGTTGAATAAGATTGTAGAGAATTATTAACATGGACCTCCTGCGGTTATAGCAAGACAGTTATCAACAGCAATCCAGTTTGTGAAATGCAGAAATGTGCCTCTCTATTAAGCTTCAGTAACAAAGCATTCAACTATGCAGATCACCAGTGTTCAGATAAACATGATGGCCTTGTGCCCCTGTGAAATGATTTAGGGGCTAGCCTACAGGTCTGGAATACTTATAACAGGTGCCTATCAAGAACCACCCTAGAGATATAAGGCCACTTCCTTAGGTGAGTCCACTTGTGCTAGAAGAGCATGAGTGCAGATGTTATGCCCACAATGGACCTTGGTTTCCTAATGTACAGAGTATCCATGACTAATTAAGCACAGGGATGACACTTACCTGGAGTGGCCTTAGCAGAGACCAGTGGTCTTAAAGTCATCTCTGGGACACTGAAACATAAGGTCAACATAGATATATATTGAGAACTTAGGTTAATAAGACATTATATGTCAGGCTCTTAATTGTGGACTCAAGCACCCTCATGAATGGCCCTGTCCCTGTAGATATGAGAGGAGAGGTTAGACAGCAAGATAAGGTTCTCCCTAGAACATAATTGTAAATCCAGGTACATAAGTCACAGAGAATAACTGGAATGCACTAATGGAGAACATGATCTAGATCAGGAATCAGCTAACTTCTTTCATAAATCCCATGAAACCAAGCACATAGGGTCTAGTGACTGCAATTTATTGTTGCTGCAGTGTGTGTGTGTGTGTGTGTGTGTGTGTGTGTGTGTGTGTGTGTGTGTGTGTGTGTGTGAATTCAGACAAATATATGCTATTTGTGCACCTGATAGGTCAAAGGACAACCTTAGGTATGGATCTTGCCTTTCATCCTGTTTGAGACAGGAGCTCTGTTGTTTCTGTACTGTGTGTGCCATGCTAGCTGGCCCCCAAGCTCCTGTACATAATCCTGTCTCTACTTCCCCTCTTTCATACAAGAACTCGGAGAACATACTCATGCTGCATGTCAGGCTTTTACATGGATACTGCACATTCAAACGCAGGTCCTCATGCTCGCACAGCAAGTACCTTTACCCATGAAGCTATCTCCTCAGCCCTGCATGTTACAAATTCCTTTAAAAACTCTTACGAGAATAAGACAAAGGTCTAAACCAGCCTTGTGGGTCATAGTTTCTCAAGACTTTGATGGGCAAAGAAGAAGTAGAAGCAGAAAGCAATTGCTCCCCAAGACTCAAGTTGGAAAGTCGAGTGCAGAGGAGGCAGAAGTGTCCTATGAGGAGAGAGGGGCAACCATTTGAAGGCAGAAAAAAACTATTAGAGACCTTTGAACATGGGAGAATAAATCATCCAGTTTTTTACTTAAAAGGCCGTTTTCCTCCTATGAAGGAAATTAGCAGGAGTTGTGCCCAGAGCCTGCTGAGGAGGAATCAAGGGACAGTACCAGGCAAGATAGAGTGTGGAGTGTGAGATGAAAGACAGGAGAGAGCTTTGCCAGGTGCTGTCATCTCTGCCAGTGTACAGAGCTAAACCACAGTCTGCCTCGTGCTGTTGTGCCTCCACAGCTCTTCTGTTGGCCAAATGCTTCTAAGAACTCAGTTGGGAATTCATGATTCACCTTTTCTAGCGTCTCTTTTCAAGCCTTCATATTTGGACAGGTACAAGTATCTACATAGAAGTACTTGCCTGACTATTCCAGTTTAGGTCAGGTTGATACCCTCCTGTCCCCCATGCCTCACCCCTCTTCTTCTGGAAAAGGGAATCAACTTGATTATACAGGCCTGGACAGAGGGGAAGCAGAAATCAAAGTTCTACCGTCTCTAGGATGTGACTCACCATCTGTCCTCATACATTTCATGCCAAGCCTAGAGGACTCAGTGAGCATCTGCCAATGTTGCCCCTCCTACAAAAGTGAGCTCAAACCTCACCTTTTCCATGAAGTCTTTCCAGGAGGAAAAGAGCCCTGACCTGTTCTGATAGATACAATGGCCATAGATACACACCTGGCTTTCAATCTCCAATGAGGTCAGTTCTCATCTCCCATTTCAATTCTCAGCCATGGACATTTACATAGCCCAGGCTGATGCCAGGGCTGGGGTGCTGCTTTCAAAGGGTCTGTCCAATGTGATGCTCAGCAATCATCCTTATGAAAAACATCCCCAAGTACAATCTGTTGCAATAAATTCAAATAGGGACACCACAAAGTACTTCCCCTGCTTGCTTATTAAAGGCTTAGGAAATCCCCACTGCTTCTTTAGGTTAAGCCAGCAAGATTCACAGCTTCTTGTACAGAACACCATTCCCTTTAAAGGATTTACTAAGTGAACAAGAGTAGCTAGGTGTGGCCAGGAGTCTCTGTGGGCGTCCTGCGCTGTCACTTTCTCCTTTGGGAAAGAAAAAAGCAGATTAGCACAATAAAGACTCCAAACTTGTTAAAGGGCACTTGGCTGCTTCTATGTTTCCTTGATGCAAGGTTTGTTTTTCTCACACAAACTAGTTCCTCAGAGCACTGTGAAAAGGGCAGTAGGAGAGCCAGGTGTTGCCCACAGTTGGGCTTCTGTGCATCAGGATGCTTATGGGAGAAAACATCCATTATTAGATGTGAGATACCTGTAGCAACTCTGAGTTAGATTATCTCCTCAAATTTAAAAAAAAAGGGGGGCCAATTTTGGATTGAGAATGGAGAAAGAAAAGTAAGTGGCCTTCCTTAGGAAGAACCAAAAAGCAGAGATGGTTTGAAAGAGCCTCATTCTTGTGCAGTCAACAGAATCTACAGGACAATGGGTCACTAACCAGAAAGAGAATGACCACCTCCACCGCATGAAGATATCTCTTGTTCCTAGGTGTTCCTGGACTGCCAGTGGGCTGCACCCCACAGTGGCAAGGTGAGCTCATGACAGATTCTGTGTCTTGGAGTGAGACCCGGTGGACCTTTACCTCATGCAGGTTGGCTCAGCGTCCTGGCCTCTTCCCTAGATGTGTAATTTGTCTTGTATGCTATTTTCTTCAGCTATGAAATAAGACTGATACCAATATGTAAGTGTTAATGGTATAAAGTAAGGGCTGCCGAGAGTGCTCAGTGGTTAAGATCCCGTGTTGGTCTTCTAGAAGACTATAGTTTAGTCACTACTTTCTTTCCTCCATTCCCAACTCCAAGTTACCTTTTTTTTTTTCAAATAGCTAATTAGATGTAGAGTTGAATGCCTATAGGTCACATGTCAGACAGTTCACAGCTGCCTATAACTCCAGCTCCAGGGGACATGATGCCCATTTTGGCCTTTACATGTACCTGCAGACACAGACACAGACACAGACACACAGACACACAGACACACACACACACACACACACACACACACACACACACACACACACGCATGCACACGCATGCACACTCACATGCACATATATAAAAATAAAATAAAAGTGTAAAATAATCTGATTTTCTTAAGTAATTATTGATTGTAGCAAATAAACCTGTGCAAATGGACCATATAAAAAACTTAGAAAATGGTTTCCAATATATCCTCAAATTTATGCTAAATCATCCCTTTTCATCTCAGAGTCACAACTTCACAAGTGCAAACTTGTTATTATTATTGCTGTTGTTGTTTTTATCATTTGCAGTGCTGGGGAACAGAATCCAGGGTCTTGTGCATACTACATAAACATTTTACCACAGACCTACACCCCAGTCTCATGCATATTTAAATCAAGTATCAGCCTCCTTCAATCATATCTTAATCAAGGCATACATTTTCTGATGTGTCTTATTTTCCTAAAACAGAACGGTATCTGTCACAAAGTTCTTCAGAGTTAAGGACAATTTCTGCTGCAATTAAAGAAGACAAACTCTGACCAAAGGGCACGTAGATGAGCACTGACTTAACTTCAAAATGCTCTATGCAGTTTCTCAACACAAAGTGTCTAGCTTTGAAGATGAAATACCCCCTACAGGTTCATGTTTGAATACTTAGTCCCAAGCTTGCTACCTTGAGAGGCTCTGAGAAACTTCAGGATGTGATCTTCCCTGCGGGAAGGTGTACAGGAATGTGTTTGAAGTTATACTGGGTAGCTGGACCTGTCCTGGCCCTGTCCACCGCATGATCCTGCCACCATGATTCTCTGCTCAAGTACAAAGAGCTAGCAATCCGTGACCCACCCCCTCTGGAACTGTCAGCCAAGAGAAACCCTTTCTTTCCTTAGAAATTTCCACCAAGTGCTTGGTCACAGCAACGTGAAAGTAATGGGCCCGCAGCTTTTCCCCTACACATCTCCCCTGTGCACGTTTGTTTTTCTTTTGTATACTTATTGCTTCAGGAAGATGGGGAATTTTAGACTGGGGGTTTAGTTTTTTGTTTGTTTTGTATTTTGTTTTTATCAAGTTGGATATGAGAGAAATTCAGCCCATTTGTGCAATGAAGGGAGGCAGTGCCTGATGGGCAGTCATCAGAATTGTACAGCTTCCCAAAACACTCAAGAGAATCAGCTGTGCTTACAGTCTCTAATTCTCACGGTGAAATGTTTTTGGCCCAGATAACACAGTATTTGCTACACAAAGGCAAATCAAAACACATCTACCCATGTAAACGCCACTAAAAGAAGCAAATCCTGTGGAGGTGTTTTGTTCATATGTCTAACTCTAGGCAGCCTAAACGGAAAAGAATCTCATTATCTCAGACTACCATATGTGTATGTGCATATAAGTAGAAGGAAGGGAAAACAAACTCAAAATATGGCCTCAGCTGGTAGGACTGTAAGAGCCAGTCTCTGCTCCCTAACTGGAATATTACATACCAGCTACAATGCTTATGGCAGGACTACATGAGACTTGCACATCACTAGGAGAGCACACTATTTAGGTTTTATGCCCACAGTTAATATTAATCAAAGGTAATCACAAGGACTAGTGGAGCATGCCTGTACTCTGCACTTGGGAAGCTAGGCTGGGGTGAACCTGTCTTAGAAAGAATTTTTTAAATGGAGTTGCCAAAGTTACTGTACAGATTAAATACTTCTTGTTATTCTATTGGGTAACTATAGACACATGAGGGAACTCCAGATACCACTAATGTAGAATGTAGGTTTTAAAGTTTGTAAAGAGTTTGTATGTTTTTGTCACAAAGAAATACAGAGACAAAGGGCTGAAAAGACCGCTGGTTTCCCTTTGTTTGACACATGTAAATATTTTCTGCTATTGCATGGTGTTAAGCAAATTATGTTTTTTATTTATCAATTTTAACAATTCAAAAGAAGATAGAAATCAGTGTTGCCACTGTTTAACAAGTTAATATTTGAACATAAAAACCATGCAATGTGCTCGGGCTTCCCCAAGGATAGTTGCAAATAGATTTACTTACTACAAAGTGTGGCCTAGAAATGGAACATGAACATACAAGTCTATGATTCACATTTTCTTTCACTGAAGG